TATCTACTGGGTGGTAATATATCTACTGGGTAGTAATATATCTACCGGGTGGTAATATATCTATTGTTGGTAATATATCAATTGGGTAGTAATATATCTACTAGGTAGTAATATATTAACTAAATAGTAATATATATACTGGGTGGTAATATATCTACTAGGTAGTACTATATCTATTGGGTAGTAATATATCTACTGGGTAGTAATATATTTACTAGATGGTAATATATCTACTGGGTAGTAATATACATACTGGGAAGTAATATATCTACTAGGTGGTAATATATCTACTGGGTAGTAATACATCTACTAGATGGTAATATATCTACTGGGTGTTAATATATATGTTAGGGCTTATTGCCAGGCTTGGCTTATTGCAGGATAGATATAGTAACTGTAACAGCAGCCGTGAAATGGCGAACAAGGAAGGCAACGTTCAGGAATTTAGGTCTGTCTGTCCGTCTGTCATGTTAGAATACATTTTTGTATGGTGTAGCTCTTGTTTTCAACAGGACATAAATACTTAGAAATATGATGGCATAACACATGAACACAATATCACATTGAACGATATTGATATATAACAAGTTGTCATATATGTCATCATTACAAGGGTTGAAATTTGTGAATGCATAGACATTGAGTATCAAATAGTTCCCAAAATTTGATTCCAAATATTTTGTTCAGAAACCCTTAGCAAAATAGTATAAGTCTACTTACTTGTAGTTGTGCACGAGTCACAGATGCTGCTGCTGCTGCTTACTGAAATGAAAATAAACAGAGATAAAAGAAACTTATGTATAAATGTATATTTATTTATCATTTGGTCGTACAAATTGAAAATGATGTCAAGCATAATGCTAAACGCCTGAAAAAGAATAAAATATGATGAGTATCATCTTTCAGTTAACTTAAAATGTTACATGTTGAATATTAAAAATTAAAACAACACCAAGCATTTTCCACAATGCCTCCGACCAACACAGCTATAAGGCATGAACTTTCACAAGTTTAAAGTTCCTCAGACGGCAAAACAATATTTGTTTCACCTGCTATTCCATTGCGATCGTACATTCATTGTGACATTTCTGGACCAATTTGGACCATTGTCATTTGAGGGTTAAATGTAAAAATGTAACTATTTTAGTATATGACCTTGATAATCTTTGATGGAATAGGAGCTAAACATGAAGTATATATATATATATATAGCCTTGAAATTGATACAAAATACAAAATCTAACCAAAATCAGTGAAGCGGATAACAAAGGTCACAATGACCTATATTTGATCATTAGTACATGAATCATCATGGTATGTAAGTGTTTTTATATTCCTGTATGGCTGTTTTGACAGCGTTGAACTTGTGACGTCACAGATTTGGGCTACCCATATCAAGGCGATCGCCACTGAGCCAAAGGTGTGTTTTTCAGATAAATCGCAATATCTCGGAAATGGAGTCAACTACGACGTTCGCACTTTCTTAGCCTTTTATTTGCATAGCTTGATAAAGCAAAAATTTCAGGGTACTCTTTAAAACTTACCATGAATTCAATGCAATACAAAAACATTTATATAAAAGATATATTTTATTTAGTGCTAATGATATGTATACATGTACTTGGTAATTAACAGTAAAAAATATTGATATGGCACAAATAAATCTTCTTAAATTGCTCTTTTCCTGAAATTTAGCTGAAGTATCCACCTCTGAATTTAGGGAGAAGAGTACTAGTCCCATTACCTTTCTACTGTATACAAGCCTTGTAGAATTATTGTTCCTGATTAAAAAACATGTCCTTTATAATCAAAGGTAATTATAGAATACAAACATTTTAGGGAGTTTGGAATATTTGGAAATCATTCCTAATTGAAATCCCGTTGACAGTAGTGTTTTTGTGAAAAAAATGTTGTTGTTTTTTAATTTCTTTTGTATGATTTTTGTTTGGCTATTATAAATAGGCAAGCCATTCACTGCCAGCAAATGCTTAACAATTTGGAACTCTTCTTTGTTGGAGGTACAAAATAGAAAACTTGGGCTCTTTACCGTAAATCCTAAATTGATAACACTGCATGAAGCGATTATCACAATTCTTTCCATGTATAGGTGAAAGCATGAGGCATATCAACCTGCCAATTGTCAACCGCACCAGTATAAACCAACTGGCTGTTGAATTTGAAGAAATACTCCAGAAGATGTGACAGCGGATGCTACTGAAGAAATATATCTTCAATTTACAAATATAGATTATCACACTGTGTTTTCAGCTAGGGTTTGTCGTGAGAACATTCTTCTCATCGCCAGCATGTGAATAAAATGGAGGGGCCACCGCAAGAACAATTTTCTCATTACAAGCACTATGATAAAATCGAGAGGCCACCGCAGGTGGACTCAAGATTGTATTCATCTGGTTGCGATGAGAAAGTTGTTCTCACGACCAACCCTGAAAACAGTGTGTGATCAAATGTTTATCATCTATATACTACTACCTTATACAGTTTATCTTTCATAAAAGGTCAACTAAATACTGTATCTTCCAAATTACTTTTAGGCTCAATGATCATCGAGATCCTCGGTCTGTGACAGACGTAATCTTAAGTAAAAGATTCCGTGGAGGAATTCCATGAACCTTAAAACTATGTAGAAGGCATTTTTAAACAATTTCATGTATAATCATTGACTTCTCCATATGCACATTTAAATTTAATATTTTTTCATAATTTTATAACCAGTTAGGGACAGACTATTTTCTTACACCAATCACCTTTAATGTTTTGTATGGCTACTTTTTCCAGTCCAGGATGTCATCCGACGCGAGCTAGCAGACGTTCTTTTTTGAGAAAACACGTTCCGAAATGAATGGGAAAATCCATTCTAAACTTCTTCCTGAGTATTCTCATACTGACAGACAACCCGTTATAATGAATTTATCATGCTACCGGTAGGTGGTATAAAGTAGCATATATAGATGATAAATATGATTATCGTTTTTCTTTTACACATTTATGGAATGTTTGAGTGAAATTAACATTTCGGTCCATGATTGGTCCTGAAGGTTTTATAGCAATACACAAGTACTAGCTACAACAAAAGGAACCAAACTAATATTTGTCATCCAACAGTTTTGCAAATGAAGCATATACGCGATGTACTTTCCTTTTGATCATCGTTAAGTTTTCTGCAGAGTCAAAGCCATTTTATCATTTTTAGAAACTGAGGTTCAGAAAGGGTTTTTATGTGGACCTTATCTAGATATACCTTTTGAACAATATAGAGTGAGTCCTATAGGTGTCGCGATAGGAAAATACTCTGGGAAACCACGGCTAATAGTCGACTTGTCATCCCCACACGAGGACAGTGAACATCCATCTATAAATAATTTAATTGACAAGGAACAACGCTTTCTTAGTTATGTTAAAATAGATGATGCTGAGTACAAACTACTATGTGTAAAACCGACATTTCAGAAGCATTCAAACTGATACCAATCCATCCTAGTCAGTGGCACTTGTATTGTATTCGCTGGAGGGAAAAGTATTACTTTTACAAAAAATTGGCTTTTGGCTGCAGATCAAGCCCCAATATTTTCGACACCCTGTCAGAAGCAATTTGTTGGATTGCGCAGGGGAATTATGGGATTAAACACATATTACATCTGCTCGACGATTTCATTACCTTTGAACATTCGAACAACTGTGGGGAAAGAAACATGGCCTTGTTGTATCTGATATTTGATATGACTCAATATACCTATGGCCAGACATAAAACATGTGGACCGGAAACCGTCATAGAGTATTTGGGGATCATTTTAGACTCTGACAGGATGGAAGCACACTTTCCAGAGGAAAAACAAAGTAGGATCACAGATTTTCTGAGGAATTTTCAATCCAGAGAGCTAGTCGTGTACTAAAAGGGAAATGTTACAACTGCTCGGACACTTGAATTTTGCCAGCAGGGTGGTAATTCCAGGGAGATAATTTGTGTCTCATTTAAATTAAACGATCTACGACCGTGAAAGCTTTGCATCACCATATAAAGATCAACAATGACTGTAGAGAGGATATCCGGATGTGGTTACAGTTCTTGAGGCAATGGAATGGTGTGACCATGTTCTACAACACTTAAGTTACCACAACGGACATTTTCAACACAAATGGTTTGCCCAGCCATGGCCTACAGAGTTACAGACTTTAATTTCATTGAAACCAATGACGAGTTATCCATAGCATTCAAGGAATTGTGGCAGCCATATTGTGGGGACATAAATGGGTAGGACAAAGGATTGTGTTTATGTGTGACAACTTGGCTACAGTCGCTATCCTCAAGAAAGGCAGATCTAAAGCTGCTCACATTATGCCCCTGGTCAGACGCCTAACACTGTGTGCTGCTACTTATAACTTTTCTGTGTTGTCAAAGCAAGTACCAGGTAAACTTAATGTCATTGCAGATTCTCTATCTCGATTGCAGATGGAAAAATTCAGAAGACTAGCGCCAACAGCCCGTCAGCAACCGTATGTGGTGCCAGACCCCGCCCATGTTTTGTGGACCTCCAACCAGTCATCAAGGACATGTGGAGAGTGCAGTTATAGCCCCAAGTACCAGAACTACCTATCAGACAGGTTTTAACTTTTTTGTTAAGATTCCTTTTAATGTCGGGGATCATTGCCAACGCTGGTGTGCTCGACATACAGGTCACTGAAGACCTACTGATATACTTTGTGGCACATTGTTTCAATATCAAACTAGCTCATGCTACAGTTAAATTATACTTGTGCGGTGTACGTTTTATGTGTCTACAGCGGAATATCTCGTATCTAGTTGGAATTGACTTGCCTCGTTTGTTTTCAGTGTTAAACGGTATTAAACGGCTCCAACACAATGATCCAAGACCACGCCACCCTGCGACATTCAATATCTTGAGGCAAGTGTGTGGTTTCCTTAGGGAAAAGGAGGACAGACTGTTTGATGATGTGATGCTAGAGACTGTATGCATAGTGACTTTTTTCGGATTTTTAAGGTGTGGAGAGTTAACGGTTAAATATAATTTTGATTCAACCATACACTTGTGTGTGAACGATCTAGTTATTCTGCAGGACAGTATAGTGTTAACACTAAAGACTTCTAAAACTGATCCTTTCAGGAAAGGCGTGGCTATATTAACTGTTTAAAAATGATAACTCTATTTGTCCATACAAGGCATGTTGCCAGTACAGTACACTTCAGGTGATTTGATACTGAAACCCCGCGAGGGCGACAGTCGTCACGCAGGTGAAGGGGATTAATTAAAGCCCCACCAAGAAATCACCTGAGCAAAGTCGCGGGGGGCCGCCCACTACGCGCGGATGAGCGTTGGGGATTAACTTGTCGATCGGCAGCTAACTAATGTACTGTACATTGAATAGCACTGACAGTCCAGGATGTCCAAATGCTATATTTATATGCCGTATGCACGACTATTTCATGCAATACAATATATATAGTAGTAGAACGTAGCTAAGTACGTCCGAAAAAATATCATTTACGTTCACGTCAGATTATCAGGTGGAAATCGGTCGGAATAAAACAATTATGTAAGGTAACAATAACTAACGTCTCTGAGTAACACGAGGCTATCTTTCAGTTGTTTAAGCAGCATACGGTGTTTTGGATGGTCAGCTATTTGCACCAACCATTCTTGCTCTATTTCATATTCGAAATCAGAAGGTTGCATAAATTTACAAAAGAAAATCAGCTGCTTTCGACGACCTAGTTACAGGTGGT